GAAATAAGATCTGATTTATGTTTTATGCTTTATGTCACTCTGGCTGTGCTGGGGAGTGTAGGAGCAAGAGTGGAAGCAAGAAGACCAATTAAAACGCTATTACAGCAGCCCAGAAGATGGTTCTTATATTAGGGTGGTAGCAGTAGAGATAGAAATAGATAGATTGTGAAAGTGTTTTGGAGGGAGGGTTGAGCTGAATTCCTCATGGATTGGATGTGAGGACTGAGGAAAAGAGAAGAATCATGTACATGTGTTTTTCAACTTGAGCAATTGGTGGATGGTGATGCCATTTAATTTGAAGGAGAGGGCTTCACAGAATAAAAAGTTTGGTATTGCTGTATTATTTCCTTCTTTTCCTATGCAGCCTTAACAGACCATGCTTTTATTCTCTTCCCAATACCTTTATTTCTCCCTTCTACTTGCCCTTTAGCCCTTCTTATCCAGAAGAACTTCCTCTATCTACCTCCTCTACTCCTCAATCCACTGCAATCTGGTTACTACCCCAATAAACTCCTTCTTGCCAAACACAACAATGACCTCCTTGTTACTAAGTCCGAGGACTTTCAGTCCTCATTTTTCTTGACCTTTCTCTAGCATTTAATACTGTTGCCAATTCCTCCCTTGGCTTCTCTGAAACTACTTGTTCCTGGTCCTGCTACCTCTCTGGATGTTCTTCCTTTGTATGCTTGTTTTCTCACCTTTTAAATGTTGTAATTTCCATAAGTTTCCAGAGTAGTTCCTCTTCTCTTTTCATGCTATACCTTTTCTGTTGGGTATGTCATCTACTTTCATAAACCATCACATTATCACATTCTGATGATTCCTGCATAGATCTTTCTCCTGAGTTCTAGACTTCCCTGTTCAATTACATAATAGAAAGCTTCACTTTGATATCCCACGGACACTTCAAACTCAACATGTTCCAAATTAAACTCATTACCTTCCCTCCTAAACCTATGTTTCCCCCTGAAGTCTCCATCTTGGCAAAAGGTACCACTATTCTGCCATTTACCTAAGTCATAAATCTACTTCTATTCCTAATCCTGCAGATAAAATCAATAATAAAATGCAGTTGGTTCTATTATCCTAAATATGTCTTGAATCCTTCTGCTCTCTCCATTTCCATTCTTGCTACCGTAGTTTAGATGTCCATCATTTGCTACCTATAATGCTAATGTCCTAACTAGTCTGTTTGTTTTACAGTGTTAATCACACTAATAAATTCTTCAAACTGTAATGATCTTTCTAAAATGGATATACTCCTTAAAATTTATCAGTGGTTCTCCATCAGCCTTAGGATAAATTGAAACTTCTCAGGAAGACATACAAGACCTTACTGATCTTTCTAGGCGTATCCTTCAGAACTCCTGACGTGCATCCACACAATGTATTAACTGAGCATCTACTGCTTTCCTGGGCACCGTCCTTCCCTCCCAACTCTCTGGGTAACCTTTTTACCTCCAGGACTTCACACATAGTACTTTTTTTTTTTTAACTTGAAATACATTTCTCTTTAACTTGCCCACTTGTCTGTATTACTTCTACTTATCTTTCAGAACTCCTCTTCATCTTCTATGGTTAGGGACCTTGGCTATGGCCAGCCATGGTTGGGTACCCCTCTAAGCTCTCTTGTTGATATCATCTCACTGTTGTGTGATCAACTGTGTACTTATCTGTCTCCTCATTATACTATAAGTTCCTTTGAAGCAGACTATCTTATTTGTCTTTGTATTCCCAGTGTCTAGCATAGTACCTGACACAGAGCAGGCACTCAATAATGAATAAATCAACTGGCAGAGTGGGGTTTCAAAGTTGGGTTTTTTCTCTCTGGCACAAGTCTCACATTTCTTCATGCTGCTTCTTAATATCTTGAATCTGAAAATTTCAAAAATCTGTGCTAGGTATATTTTTGCCTATCAGTATTTAAAATACTGGTGAATAGGTATTAGCTCCATGAGGATTCAGTTGATTATTTATTTCTTGTGTAGCTCTTTTTCATCATTCCACTGTTTTGCTCATCCAAGTATTTTGGGTTAACTAAATCTAACGTGACTTAAAGCCCTTCCCATACAATTTTATATCCTTTCTGTTGCTGCTACAACATCACTACACAAGCAGAGTAAGTACATTGAGAGTAAGATCAATTTCATTTGATTGTCTGAAAACTGACAATGATGTATCAACAGCAACTCATTTCCCATTACAATTTCCTCCAAGGTCACTATGGATAGGTATTACAGTTTCAGTGTCAAAATGTAACATGGCAAAATCCAGCTAAAATTGAAATTCAATATAATCACAGAATTTTGTAAATGGAAGGAAACTTAGACATCTTTGAGGCCAGCACTGTTGTTAAGCTTCCATGAGGAAATTGACAGGAGAAGAAAGGCCTGGACTGGCTCGCCCAAGGTCATCTGGTCTATAGAAATGGGAGCAAATTTCCTAACTTTCAGTCAGCTGACCTTTCCTCAATGCCAAATACATCTTATATTTTCCATCTAAACAAATTATCTACATCAGGACCCACCAAACTGTTTACATAGTGCTTATCTTTATGATATTGCTTTTGTGATATCCTTGTTATAAAGAGGAAGGAACTGGGGGAAAAAGCAAGGGACACAGGGGATTGGTAAGAGACAAATAGTCCTCGGAGTGATGGGCTCCTATTTGTCGTGTAGCCTTTTGATCACACTGTGTTCTCTGAGTCCCAGTGCTAACCCTGTGCTCCCGGGGCCTGGATTCCATTCAATTCTGTGCCTTATTTGGCCTAAATGAGTTCCCCAGCTTCAATGTGTATTTTTTTGGGCTTCATTTTAGAAATATCATCCTAAATCTACTCTCTACTCGAGTTTGTTTTACTTCTAATGCTGAGGAATGAAGATTCTGGGTAAAAGAAAATAAAGATGACGGGTTTTCCTAAGACCTAGGCTTTCCATTTCAAGAATGGGTTCCTCAAATGGAAAACGGGCAGTCTACTTTATTCCTCAAATGATGACATGTTCCACGCAAATTAGTATTTAATTGGACTAATTTGTTTTCACAGAAAGCACGAATTTCTTTCCAAGAGGATCAGTTTGATAATGTTTTACCAGCTAGTGCTAGGAGACCAAATATAGACCAGTTCTGAGAAACAGGAAGTGAACCTGACTGGTCTAGTCTGCTGTCCCTGGCAGTGACGCAAATACAGAAATCAAATTAGGAAAACAAGATACGTGGGTGTGAGGCCATCGACGACCCTGCAGGATGCTACAACACAGGCAGGAACGCTTCTAACCAAACGCCATTCATTGTACTAACACCCTGAGAAATGGGACTGGCGCAGAACACGCTGGTGATTGGAAAGCAGGAGCCCGAGTTCCCTTAGCAACAGCATGTGCTTCGGAGACAGTCATTAGCCTTTCCGTGAATCCCACCAACCCCTTACTTTTCTAAACATATGACTGGCATTAAAATAAAAAAAAAAAAGATGTTTCAGAAAACATTTTAAAATTTCCAGGAGTGAATGGAAAGGAATAAAATAATAATAATAATAATAATAATTAATAAAAGGTTTTCCTGAGAACTGCACTCAGGTAAAAGCAATAATGTCCATATGTGCCCAGCCTGTCCCTACACCCACTGGCTCTCAGTTCTGTGTTTCTGAAGCCCCTCTGGTAAAGGGCAGTGGAGGTGAAATTGTTCAGAGGTGAAGGCCGTCCCCTCATCATGAGCAGGTGAGGAGTGGGGTCGGCAGCTTGTGTGGGGCGGAGGCCGATGGGGATGGAGACGAGGGACCATAAGCGCACAGTCTTGTTCTCCTTTCAGCAGGACAAATGACTCTGGTGGAGGGAGGAGGGTGGTGCAGGGAACGAAGCTGTTCTTCCTATCGATTGTTTAATTGCTCCAGTGGCTGTTTGTCTGAGGCCACTGGCCAAGAGCATTATTATTTTCGTGGCTAAAGTGAGGTTGGGCAGGTTTCCATACCGTTCCCTACTTTTAAACAGGTCAGCTCCTCGCGCTCAGCCAGGCTGTGGGAATAGGGTGCATGTTGACTTTGACTACTCAGCTCTCCCCTGAAGAACCAGTGCTGGTGGGATGATGGGTCTCAAACCCCGAATGATCGCCTCTAGCTCTGTCCTGGGTTGGGGACGCGAAACTCCTCTGGAGCCTGAGTCAACTGCGGGCCGTTATTCGAATGGTAATTATGGCTGCGTTTTCCTGGTCACCCTTATTCTGGCCTAGGTCCCTCTCAGCTGGCCACTGGGCTCCTTCGGTTTGGCCCGGGTGACTCCTAGTTCTCCCCACCTCCCCGCCTAACCCCCCTGCGCGCTCCCTTCCCAAGGCGACCACCTGCGCCGCCCCACTTACCATCTGCCCGCGGGAGGGCCCCCCGAGGTAGCGGAGCCCTCCCTGCTCCAGGGAGGCTCGGGGGAGCTCGGTGTTAGCCTCCAGACCTTAGCTACCGGAGAGATCAGGTTCCTCCCCTCCTCCCCCTCCAGCGCCGGCCGCCCTCTTCCAGCATGACACAGCAGAAATGCAGCGGCTGCAGCGAATAGCAACCATCCGCCCATGAAGCGCCCC